TACAGTGCTTAAGATATTCCTGCTTCCTTTCTCCTGAGGATCTTAATGAGATTTGAGGAAATTGAATTGTGGTATCTCTCAAGGATGTTTCCAAATCATATGCCTCTTATCACTCTGGGACATCTCCTGTGTCTCATGCATCACCTGTTGGGCACTGGGCTGTGGACTTCCCGACATTATCCAGCTTAAGCCCTGCAGCAGTCCCACAGCGGAGTTAGTATTAACACCTTCATGCGGATGAGGAGACTGAAGCTCCCCTCTGACAGATTGCGCCAGAATTTCAGATGGGAATCTTCATAGTCTAGGTGCAGGGAGGCCAGGTCTGGGAGTCAGTTTGACCTGAGCTTGAGTCCTAGAATGTGGATACGTCAGCTGTTGTCTCTAAACTTCAGGCTCCTCGTCTGGAGCACAGAGATGACATTTGTACCTTGGAGTAGTGGTTAAATTCGGCACCCGGGAAGCTTCTGAAATGCTGGATGCAGAGACCCCACCCAAGACGAATTTGATCAGAGGCAGTGGGGATTTAACCATACTCCTCATCCTCTGAGGTTTCTCTCACAGTTCTGGACAACGGAAGTTCTTAGTGACAGTGGGGATCTAGGGGAAAATCCTTTCTTGCCTCTTCTAGCTTCTCTTGGCTCCAGGAGTTCCGTGGTTTGGGGGGCCTTTATCTGTCCCCTTTTCTTGTGTGTAAGGAATAGACTCCAACCTCCATGACCTTCCCTGAGTCCCAAAGGGCATATTCTAACCATTGCAAATCATTCCAAAAAAATAAGATGATAACATCTAGTCCTATCACTTCATGGCCAATAGATGGGGAAGCAATGGAAACCGTGACAAACTTTATTTTCTTGGGCTCCAAAATCACTGTGGATGGTGACTGCCGCCATGAAATTGAAAGATACTTGCTCCTTGAAAGAAAAGCTATCACAAACCTAGGTAGCGTATTAAAAAGCAGAGACATTACTTTGCTGACAAAGGTCCATATAGTCAAAGCTATAGTTTTTCCAGTAGTCATGTATGGATGTGTAAAGAAGGCTGAGTGCCCAAGAATTGATGCTTTTGAACTGTGGTGTTGAAGAAGACTCTTGAGAGTCCCTTGTACTGCAAGGAGATCAGACTAGTCAGTCAATCCTAAAGGAAATCAATCCTGAATATTCATTGGAAGGACTGATTCTGAAGCTGAAGCTCAATACATTTTTGGCCACCTGATGTGGAGAGCCTACACACTGGATAAGACCCTGATCCTGGGCAAGATTGAAGGCAGGAGAAGAAAGAGACGCCAGTGGACAAGATGGTTGGGTCACATCACCAACTCAATGGACATGAATTTGAGCAAGCTCCAGGAGATGGTGACGGACAAGGAAGCCTGGTGTGCTGCAGAGCATGGGGTTGCAAAGAGTCAGACATGATTGAGCAATTGAACAACTGGCAGGGAAGGGAGGCGATGCAGAAACAAGGGAGGAGACCCTCTGAGCCCAGATTAAAGGAACCAGAGAAGCTCATCAGGAGACCATCTAAAGTCAGATTAAAGGATTACGGGCTCTGCATATACCCCATCCTTATTAGCAACTCCACCCTTAAAGCATTGCTATAAAACTCCTCACCAAATCCTCCCAGGTTGGAAACACAGTTTTTGAGGCACAAGCCCACTTTGCTCCCCTCTGCCTGGCAAAGCAATAAAGTTGTTCTTTTCTACTTCACCCAAAACTATCTGCAAGATTTGATTCAGCACCGTTGCACAGAGGCCAACTTTTCAGCATCAAGATGAAGTTGGAGGTTTATAAATTTTATTTTAAAATAAGAAAACCTGGAAATGAAAGTTTAAAACATAAAACAATCCAGTTGTTTTATTAAAAATAAATAATATAACTGAGCTTGAATCAGAATCAAAATACGAAATACTATACGATACGATACGAAATACAATCAGAATACAAAATACTATAGCCATAGAAAGAAACAAACTAGAAATTTTAAAAATAAAAAAATTTTTAAAGTCGTAAGAAAGGTCAACTGCTGTATGAATGGGAAGTTTAGATATTTATATTCACAAACCCAAGTGAGAGAATGAGATTTGAAGAGAGATTTCTCTTGAGATTTCAAGAGAAATGAGTACTTGGGGAAAAGGTAGGGAAAATGAATAGAGGGGGAGGGGTAGACTGTGTAAAGGGGGACATCTGCAGTGACCAGAATACTTCAAAATAAGACCTAGTGGGGAAAAAAAAAGACCTAGTGGTTGGGTTGGATTTTAAAGTTTTTTATTTGTATATTTTTTTATTTTGCTTATTGTCATCCAGAGGATTTCAGCTGGATGTTCATTTCTGATCTTGAGCTTTGAATTAATGGAGTCCTCTGGTAAATCCTTCTCCCGTACTTCCCTTCAGCTCTTTGGAAGTAATCCCTAATTATAGGCCATGTATGGATTTACTAGATGAAATCAGCAGCTATGGATATGACACCAGACTCTCAAAAAATCAACACATTGTTGCCATAAAAAGCCCAATTGTTAATTGCTTCTTTGGCATCTGGCTATAACAAAAACACCCTTTTTCTGTTTAATATTAAAACTCAATGTAGTGGAAAGAACATTGGACTAGAACTAGGGGAGGTTAGTATTCTTGTCCCAAACCTGTTACCAAGCGCCTATGGTTTGAGGACAAAAAAACATTTCATTCTTTGAGGCCTCAGTATCCTTATCCATAATCAAGGGCATGAAGTCAAATTACCACTTCCAACTGAAAAACCCCATTCTGCATCTTGAAAATACAGTACACTCTTCTCATCTTTTCCCAAAACTCTATTTCGGGATAGCCTGATATCATTTTACGATTTTGTAGTTCCATGAGGAAAAGGAACCACATACAGATTTAAGCGTCTCCATAGTTTTCACTATGCAGGCAGTACTTTTCTGGTCTTTCTCAGATCTGAAGTTTGCTGTGAGGCCCCACAAGTCTTAACGACTTTGGAAATGCAGTCTACCAGTGTTTCACAATTATTATTGCAGAGCCTTATTTTATTCTTGAGATGCCTGGAATCTACGATTCTACACGAAGATTCTACAATAGGTATCGTTTCAAGTTCCGCAAGTGGTCAGCTGAAAGAACAAGCTGGGGCTAGTCCATGAATCAGGTACTAGTGTTGGGAAGGCGAGTGTGGGGTGCACCCAGCTGACCCAGGGGCCTCCGTCTTCAGGCCTTTCTCAGGCCCCCTGCACAGGACCGGAGACAAATGAAGGCAGCTCAGGCCACGACCACACTTGTGTTGTTTGCTGGGTCCTTTGTCTCTTACATGTCTGGGTTGCCAGGAGCTTTGGTCTCTTGCTTTCAGCTGCTTGCTGGCTCTGCAACTATCCTTTGTTTGCCCAGTTGCTAACTGGAGTAGGACAGCCGTCACTCAGGTTCACAAGGGTTTGCCTTTGTGTATTCTGACCGGCCACAGTGTGGAAGCCGTGTCTTTTGAGCTTCAAGATAGTTGTTGGTGTGCTCATTATTCACCATCACTTTGCTCTTGTGGGAAAGTCAAAGGGCAGATGGGAAAAGAAACCAGCTTCCCCTGTTTAACTTTTGTATTTTAAGTTGCAGGAATGGCTTGGCAGTGTACACTTCCTTGTGTATAGTTTTCGGGGATGTACCTAATGGTATGAACTTTTGGAGAGTGCTGGGAAAGAACAAAGCAGCATTCTTTCCCTTTTGTCTTTGGAGATCCAGTTATTGCATCTGTTTGGAATCCACATGATGTTTCTGTTTTGTTCTTTTGCTAAGTAACAGTTCATCCCAGAATTTAGTGGCTTATGGGAATTCCCTGGCAGTCCAGTGGTTAGGTCTCTGTGCTTTCACTGCCTGGGTTCAATCTCTGGTTGGGGAATTAAGATCTCACAAGCAGCACAGTGTGGGGAAAAAAAGAGGGAATATATAGGAATATATAAGCCAGTAATAGGATGACTGACTAGCCATTTAGGAAAACAGAATTTAATGATTTAAACCAACAGTGTGGTAGTTCTCACAATTCTGCCATCTCAACTGGACTTAGCTGGACAGGATCTCCTGTTCCTCGTGGTATAGGCTTGAGCTGAAATATTAAAGATGACTTTATCGTTCATGTGCCTGGCTTCTCAGCTGGAATGAGTGAGCCTCTCTCACATGGCCCTCCATGTGGCAGGCTTGGCTTGGGCTTCCTCACTCCATGATGGTCACAGGATAATCAAACAAGACGTTTTGCATTGTGGCAGACTTCTGGTCTCCAGCTTCTCTTAAAGACCCAAACTGACACAGTGTCTCTTCTGCCACATTCTTTTGGTCAAAGCAAGTCACAGACCAGTCTAGATTCACGAGGAGGGGAAGTAGCCTCCACAACTTGGTGAGAGGAACAACACGCAGGCACAGTGAGGGAGGGAGTTAATGGTGGCCATCTTTGGAGATTATCTCCTGTAATTTCCCTCGTGGTATTCTCTTGATTTATTGGTCTTCTCTCTTTGTTTTTACTGGCATTTTGTGGTATAGGAACACAAGTCAGGCAGGAATTAGTCCCATCATCTTAAGCATCAGATCTTTTACCAGCAATTCCAGGGTGCTTTGGAAAGGCATTGCTGATTCTTCCCTGGACTGTAGGGCTGAGCATCAGAGGCTTCACTGACTGCCTTGGGAAGTACAGTAATGGCCAACACCAGTTGAGCACTTGCTATGGACCAAACTCTATGCTTATGCCTTTTTCATATATAATGTTATCATCATAATCTTCCCAGGTCTGTATGTATAATTTCAATGGCAGTTCGTGGGTTGGTTCAGGTGATAGTATAGATAGTTGGTACTGAAGATTCAAAAGTGCTACATAGCCACACTCAAGATCACCAGCCCTTCCCTCCCCAGAAGCCCTCATTTCCTTGAGGTACTTATTATGGTGATTGGTTTCTTTCACTTAGCTTTCCATATTCATTTATTTCATATAAATGACAGTTGAACTTTTAAGTTATCATTTCTTTGATGTATTTTTTCCTCCAGGATCCTAAACACTTCAAGTCAGAGAAGACAGGACGGGGACAGTTAAGGGAAGGCTGGAGAGATAGTCATCAGCCCATCATGTGTTCTTACAAGCTAGTGACCGTGAAGTTCGAGGTCTGGGGGCTTCAGACCAGAGTGGAACAATTTGTACACAAGGTAAGTAGATGGTTGACAGTTCCTGGGCTGTGGGCAAAGTAACTGTCTTTGTTGTGAGCCGGAGTGCCCAATGTCCAACAGATGTGTAAGCACTGAACCAGCACAAGTTACCTACATCTAGAAAATCCTGTTTCCATGAAAATGAATTTTGTCTCCTTTTTAACTTTCTTCTACTAACAGATCTCTTACACTTCATCTCTCATTTTGTGACTTCCATGTCTATTGGGTGAGTATGCTCAGGAAGTTGGGCTCTCAAAGTATGGTTCTCTCGGGCTAACCTAGTTCCAAAAAGAGGTTCTTGTACTTGGTACTTGGGCACTCAGGTTCCAGGCAGAGGCACAGGGTTTATCTGTGTGCACTGTCCCCCCAAGGATAGTCCTCGCTCAAAAGATCCTGCAAATGTAGACACCTGAGGTAGAAGCTGCCCCAAGAGACAGAAGAAGAAACCCCAGTGGTCCCATGAGAAGATGTACCCCAGCATTTCTGCCCTTTTAATAACTCTGTTACCAAAGAATTATTGGCAAGCTCAAAACACAGGTTTTAGCTGTATACCTCCTTTGGCTAAACATGTTAATTTTGTAGCAGGAACCCATTTAGTGATGATTTAAGTTTATTGGGTGCTTCTAACATAACTGTTCCAGTAGTCATGTATGGATGGTGAGAGTTGGACTGTAAAGAAAGCTGAGCACCAGAGAGTTGATGCTTTTGAACTGTGGTGTTAGAGAAGACTCTTGAGAGTCCCTTGGACTGCAAGGAGATCCAACCAGTCCATCCTAAAGGAGATCAGTCCTGGGTGTTCATTGGAAGGATTGATGCTGAAGCTGAAACTCCAGTACTTTGGCCACCTCATGCGAAGAGCTGACTCACTCGAAAAGACCCTGATGCTGGGAAAGATTGAGGGCAGGAGGAGAAAGGGACGACAGAGGATGAAATGGTTGGATGGCATCACTGACTCTATGGACATGAGTTTGGGTAAACTCTGGGAGTTGGTGATGGACAGGGAGGCCTGGCATGCTGCCGTTCATGGGGTCGCAGAGTCGGACACGACTGAGCAACTGAACTGAACTGAACATAACTCTTATCCTCATGGAAATTAATTGGAAATGCAGTGCTGAGCATTGCCCTTTGAAACTCCTATTTTCATGAGAATAAGTACTATCCAAGTTGTCTCTACATTCCAGATAGGCTGGATATCTGTTTATTTTTCCACTTAAAAACTGATAAGGAATTGCTTTCTGAAATTCTTTTGGGGGCACTGGAATTTAACCTTAATGCACTGAGCTGTTTGTTACTTAGATGGATTTGTCTACTGAGCTTGGGGAGCCAATTGATAGTAAAATGTATAAATCTTGAATTTGGGTCCAAGAAATAGATTGAACTTGCTTTCCTGATAATAGCAGGGCCTGGAATAAATTTGAGACAGAGAAATGTACTAATCTGCTGAGCTCTAGAATCCGTTTCTGCCCAGCCAGGGGTGAGAGCCAAGTGGCACGCGTAGAAATCAAGTTCTGGGACCTGCTGTTTTCCTGCTGTGTCCCAGTTATTAAGCAGGAAGACAGTCTAGGCTCCCAGAGTAAATATTTTCCAGCCTCAGCTCTGCGTCTGTCCCTGGCAGTATATTCTTAACTTATACAACATCCCACCTTTTTTAAAAAAAAAAACCACCCCAAATGATCTCCTCTTACTGGGGCCACTACCATAGTGTGTTTCATTATCTCATCTTCTCACGAAACATATTTAGATTGCCACAGGGGTCATTGTGTTTCTTTTCTAGTTTTGAGAATCCATTTCTTTAAAATACCTGTAAGAATTACGCTCTAGCAATAGGCATTCCCATTGCCCATTTCCAAATATAATGAAGTGTCATCAACACCCCCAAAACACACCTGCTGTGGCACACGAGCCACTAATGAGAATCTGAGGCTCTTATTTGCGTAGGTTTCAAGTGCCAGGGATGCCTTTCTCTGAACACCTTTTGTTTTTGAAGAATCTATTCACAGTTAACGGGAAAAAAATGTTCGAAAGCGAGCCATTAGCACATTATTGAATTCTTGTTTCCAGCAGACAGCTGTGTTGTGCTTAATGCAATAGGGCGTATTTACTGATGCCTCGATGCTGTTCTTATAATTTCCATGAATTTGACACACTCAGCACTCAAGTGTGCATGGCTTCCTGTTGTTTATTTTCGTTACATGTTTTCTCCTTCCATATCATGAAAGCCTCACTAGATATCCATAGACCTGGAATAATGAACACTTCATTATGAAGGCTTCCCTTGTTTCTGCAAATTCACTGAATTAAAATCCTTCTTTTCTTGAAACATGCTTGAACCTTCTTCGAGAGGTTTTGACAATTGCTAGATTTGTTTGTCAGGAGGAAAGAAATGTTGGAAGGAGAGCACTGAGTACCTAAGAAAGGTAAAAAGGCATGCCGTATTTATACCGATAGAAGACGAAAAAAAGATACCATGAAATAAAAACACATAAATGGTATAACACACAAACTCTTTACAATTATTTTTCTTAATCTTCTATTGCCGTTATGTGTCACCATAAGAAATAATTTCATTCCTTTCATCTCCAATCAAGTTCATCATTCCCATTATGTTCTACTCTGGTTCAGGTCTCTTATTTCTATGCCTTTCAATAATAGTTAACATAATAGTTGACTAAACTGCTCCCTCCCCTGACTTCTAATACATGAAAGCCAAGCTTAGAAAGATATCTACTTATCTTGAATCACACACCTTCAATTATTTAAAAAAAAAAAATTACCCATATTTAGGATACTTCACTAGAGAAGAGAGAGTTTTAAGTGCTTTTTCTTGGAGGTGATTTTCTATCCAAATAAATGCGCTTGATTTCCAACATTTATGACCCCCTGGAGCCTGTGAGGTGCACCCTTCCGCAAATGGAAAGTAGAACCTGTTTTAGGTAAAGATAAATGAAGAGAAAAATCTGAGGGTGATCAGCCCTGGAGACTCGTTCCAGTCACTGTTGTGTGACTGCCAAGTCGTTGTCATTATTTTGAACAGCTTCCAGCCCAACTTTCAAATAAGATAAAGAGATTAATTTACAGCAAATATGTGTACACCATGGAAAAGTTCTGAGAGTAAGTATGTCCGCCTCTAATTGTCCTCCCATATGGACCAGAGGGATGGAGAAATTTGTAACTGTCACATTTCCTAGAATTGGAAACCATTCCTTTTCCAGATAGTTTTAATTAAACCTGGTATTCTATCAACCTCCTTCTTTTGCTTTTTTAGGTGGTTCGAGATATCCTTCTGATTGGACATAGACAGGCTTTTGCTTGGGTTGATGAGTGGTATGGTAAGTCAACTCCCCCCAAATCAGTTATAGAACAACTTCATAACACATTGGCTTCAACTTTCAGTCCATCTGGCTTCAACTGCTACCTAGAAAGACAAGAACAAAGGCAGAGCTATTGCTTCCTGTATTGAAAATAGCATTGTCCGTGGGACATAATGAAGAAGAATGTAATGATAGAAGCTTGATCTAAAATAACCACAGCACTTAATTATTGACTAAATAGGACCTCAATATGTTTGATGTTTGCATGCTTGATAGTGCAGGGTTCTATAATCCTCTGTTGGATTGGCTTCAAACCCCTCCAGTTTATCCCAGACCTCACGATCAGTGCTGCCTTGATCTTGTCGTTAAGCATCATATCAGGTGAAAGCAATCCTTGGACTTGAGTCCTTTGAAACACTCCCTCACAAAAAACATAAGGACTTTTGCCAGGATTCAAGGGCAAAGGAACTGGTGCCCCCTTAATTCTAACTGAGACTATTGTTCCGGCTTTTTAAAAAATGATTTGAGAAGAATTAAACCTGTTCTGTATATTTCCAGTAAGTGAAAAGAAACAAGGTTTCTTTCATCCCGTGATGAATGAACCACACTTCCCATATCTGCAGCGCTATCATTTTGTCCACGTGAATCCCCTACATTCCCAGAATCAGTCATCAGAGGCTAGAGTCCTTGACTATAAAAAGAAACAAACACACCCAGTTGGTGACTTGGGTCATATCTGATTGCCTAATGAAAATGCTCTTCTCTTTGGCCTTTTCCTAAGTCACGTTGAATTTGTTCTCAGCATAACCTCGATTGCATTTTGGTGCCTTTGTATCATTGTTTCACCAATGCCCTCTCTCTTCTTGGCTGAAGGCATCAAATTTAAAGTGAAAAATTACAGTGGACTGAACGGACAAAGACGGTGACTATTAGCTGTTTCTGAACCATATTTTTAAAAATAGGGTTTTATAGGCTATGGATGTGCTTTTTTTTTTTTTCTTTTTTTGCACAGTTTTCCCAGATCCATATCTTCTGAAAAGCAAATATATCTTTGCCTCTTCCTTGGTTTGCCCAAATGCAGACCTCTAGAAGAGATGCTTTTGAAAGATCACCATTTGCTTTCTCTTAATCACACGTCTCTGGGCTTCCCTAGTGACTGAGTGGTAAAGAATCCGCTTGCCAATGCAGAAGACTTGGGTTCAATTCCTGGCTCGGAAAGATCCCCTGGAGAAGGAAATGGCAACCCCCAATAGTATTCTTTCTTAGAAATCCTATGGACAGAGGAGCCTGGCGGGCTACAGTCCACAGGGTCACAAAGAGTTGGACACGACTCAGCAACCAAACAACAGCAATAATCACACACCCCCAGGACCCAGGATGCTGCTCAGAGGCAGCACTACGCTGACTGGCCACACTGTCACAAGTCTCCCCAACACTTCTTTGTGGTTGTCTGTTGTGAGATGGGGGGAGGGAGAGTCTCCTGTAATTACTTCCCCAGATCATCAAACAGATCTTTCTGGTTGTTTTGTCTGAGGAGCTTTTCACAGATTCTTAGAGGGATCACAGACAACCTAAAGGCTAACAACTGCTGGTCTCCCCCAGCTTGCACTCGTCCACGCTCTTGGCATCCTAAGGGAATTTCAAAAAGATATGCAAAGAATAATAGGCTCAAACTGGTGAGAAGTTTGGTCAGTGAACTGAAGCCTGAAGAGCCAAAACTCGACCATCTTGAAGACCAGGAGACAGGGCAATGTAATAGATTTCTCTGGAATACCATGAGGCCTTCGAGGACTTTTCAGAAAAGGCAGCATCAAAAAGGGTAGCTGCACACGAACTAAGAAAGACAAAACACTGCAAGCCAAGGGCTGATTTTTTTTCCATTTCAACCAAGCCCTCAGCAACTGAGAGACTTAAAGACTTTTAGTCCAAAAAAGAAAATAAATAAATAAATAAAAATCTCAGACTATTACAAGGGCCCAAAGCTAAAATGATGCATCAAAGGAAGGCCTTTAAAAAGACCTACTTAAGTTGGAGAGGTGGAGACAGGAATTAACTCAAGGAGCCTACTGACAAAAAGCCCTCTCTGTATCTGAGTGCAGAAAAACAGCATGTGGTTTAGTGGATATAGATCATCAGGGCACCGTGTACTCCCCCAGAGAAGGCCTCCACCCGCTATATATACAGTCCTAGCCCCAACCAAAACAAGCAGCCTTTTCACTCAGCAAAGGGTCTGAGACCCACCCCATCAATTTCATGTAAATTACTGGCATCCTTGTCCCCAGCTGAGCGGCTTGCCAGGAAAGTGGTAGCTCCTTCATTACACAGATGCAGTTACTCAATCAACTAAATGCTAAGAACCCTGCCCACAGCCCCTTATTCAAGGTAATGCTGCGTACTGCAGGCCTTCCGGAGAAGGCAGTGGCACCCCACTCCAGTACTCTTGGCTGGAAAATCCCGTGGACAGAGGAGCCTGGTGGGCTGCAGTTCATGAGGTCGCGAGTCGGACACGACTGAGCGATTTCACTTTCATGCATTGGAGAAGGAAATGGCAACGCACTCCAGTGTTCTTGCCTGGAGGGCTGCGGTCGATGGGGTCGCACAGAGTCGGACACGACTGAAGTGACCTAGCAGCAGCAGCAGCAGGCCTTTCAGGTAAATGGGTGTGTCATCGCCCACCAGAAGAGCCCTTCAGTTTTGGGTACCTGAATTTGCTTATTTTTCTTTGGTCTATACAAGCTCAGTGAGGCTTTATCACTGGTAAACCTGGAACGGGTTCAAAGTAGAGAAACCCTTTCCTATAGCTTATGGCACTTATTCTCCCAGTGAGGTCCTGGGCCTGCAACCGCAGCATCCCTGGGGTACTTGTTTCAAATTCTCATACTCCGCCCCAAGCCTGATGAATCAGATACTCTGGGGGTGTAGCCTAGCACACCCCCTTGTGTTTTAACAATCCCTCCAGGTGAATCCTAAAGGTTTTTTTGTTTTTCAGTTTTTGGTTTTTGTTTTCATTTTTTGGCCACAATGCAGGACATGTGGGATCTTAGTTCTCCAATCAGGCATCGAGCCCGAGTCCCCTGCATTGGAAACGCAGAGTCTTAACCACTGGACCACCAGGGAAGTCCCAAAAGTTTTAAGAACAGCTTTAAATCAGATTAGATTGAAAGGACAGTTTAATTAATTCAGTCCAAATTTAATTAGACTAGAAAATGGTAGATGTCTTCAGGGCCAACTGCTGAACGCTGGTGCCTTGTAAGCATTACGAAAAGGCGCCTCTTCCAAGCAGATTCAGCGGGTGCTGTCGGCTGAGGGCTGAATTTTAGCTCCATTGACCCTGGGCCATGCTCCTACAGTGCCCAAACTGTATACCTGTCTACACTGGCAGCCCTGTGTGATGCCTTTCTCCCTAATTAGATTCACCACCTCCAGTGCTTAACTGAGTTGCATTTTGTTTTGTTTTTTTAAAAAGGACACTACAGATGACAGTAATCATTTCTTGCCCAAGGATTAATTTTGTATCCTTCCTGAATTTTAGCATTTGACTGTCACAGTAACTATTTCCCTAAACAGATTTTATTCTGCTCTTGTTTGTTCTAAACTACAACCATTTCTACTGTTGGGAGTAGTTGAGTTTGGTTTTGAAAGCCTTGATTGGTCTTTATCCATGAGCCTTGGATGTCTCCTGCATGACTGGAACACTAATCAGAAAAAACAACTCCATATTTCAGAAGATGGGGTAAAAGAAGAGGTGAATAAAAATAGGCAGCCCAGCTTCACCAAAGCGTGGTTTTGCTTCACAAATCTGACAGTATTTTGAGAGGAACACAGAGGGTTGCCCAAGGGAGGCTGTGATTGAGTGGAATTTCATGAATCCTGACCCTTCCAAAAAATAGGAGGTTGTTCTGGCTAGTATAGATGAAACTTCCTCACAAAACTGACTTAGAGATCATTCTGGAGTCCCAAGAGCAGTGTAACAATGAAACAATCAAGCTGAAGTTGGAGAAAGAAGCTGACTCAGAGGCTAGCATTAGCTGGTTGATTTCACCAAGCCAGCATTTTCCAATGGCCACAGGTTTCCTGAATCATGAATTTAAGTTCCGTGTTTCTTATACAGCATTTTATGTATGTCTGTTTACATTCATTTTTCTGGAAAGAACCCATTGCACTCCATCACATTTTCAAAGGAATCTGTGCCTCTGCTCTTCACCTCCCCAAATTAAGAACTGTAGAAAAAATCATAACTGTAGATTACAATTCTAGATCTTGTGATCTGAATTACAAGGAAAGAGTATACACCAAGCCTTGAGGATTAGCTACTTTCACTACAAAAAAAAAAAAAAAAAGAACTATTTGTAATAAGCACCTGTTGAATTTATAGCCTTTTTTTTTTAAAAGCACTTCCCAAAGGATGGGCCACCATTTTGTTGAAGTCAAAGGGGTATCTGACCTAATACTTGATTGCTGGAGCTTCCTCTGACCTCTGACCCAGCCACTGTTTAAGACTTCCATTTTGACTTGGAACAACAACAAAATAAAAAATTACTTCTGTTTAGGCTGACAGGCCTGGAAATGGAGAGAAAATATTTGTAGAAGGAAATAAAATATAATGTGCCATTGAATAGGTCATTGAATTAAGCTATATGAGTCTTTATTAAAACTGTAATGAAGGAATATTCCTGACTGCAGACATTTTGTTTGGTGGCATTTGTAGTGTCTCTGTACATTCAGCTGACTTCGGCCCTAAAGGCCTTTCAGATATACAATCTTGCCTCCACTTCCAGTGAAATCTTTAATAAAATGATTGAAAGAAAATTCCCACCATAAACAAAGCTGAAAGTTTGAGAGAAGCTATTTGCAATATATATATCCAACAGAGGATTAATATCCACAATATATAAAGAGGTCCTATAAATCAAAAACCCAACGCTCAATAGAAGAAAGGGAAACAACCTAAATAGGTAAACCATGGAAGAAGAAATGCAAATAACCAAGAGCCTCTCTACTAATCACAAGAAGTGTAA